ACAATGCATGCGAGTATAGAATTCTCTTAAGGATTATTTAATATTAGATAATCCAATCAAAAGCTTTTAAAAATAGTGAAATAATTATAAAGAGTTGTAATACCGTCAAACAGACATCTAATTACTGAATACATAGTTTCTCCGAATTCATAACTTGCCGTCTCGACAATAATTAGCATTGTTTTTAATATCCCAATAAAAAATATAGGGTGTTCTGTATTTTGTAAATTTATCTTCAACCTAAATAATATTTTTTAGTAGTTACATTAAAATAATCATAATATTAAAACATTGAGCATATGTAAAATATTTTTTATTTTGGATAAGTTATTATTTATGTAATTTATTTACTTTTGAATTATTTGATAAATGTATTCATTGTGTTTATCATCACTATGATTTAATTTGACATTTAACTGAATCAAATCAATCAAATCAGATAAACGTGATTTTTCATTTTCATCAAATAAATTATTTAATATATAATCAAATATCAAGCTGCTAAAAATTGAAACCAAAACTTCATCTTTCAATGCCATTTCAAAGACTAATGATTCTAGATTATTAGCATAAATCTGTTTAACTAAATGATCCCCTGTGATCAATGTCATTAGATGATTTGGACTGATACACGAAAGCTGAAAAAATAAATAAATATTAAACATATTAACAACTATTATGTCATCAAAATAAAATATTGTAGAATTTGAAATAAAAGAAGTAAAAACAATCAACATTAATGTAAAGATTTGAAAGCGTTAATATTTAAATAGTAAAATAGCCAATCCATTTAGCAACCATATTTAACTATAATTAGAAGAAACTATAAGTTATAATTTTAAAGAATCTTGATAAAATAAAAAGGCCGCTTAATAGTAAYTTTTCTATAACAATTATTATCAATTACAAATTTTAGTATATGAATATTATATTCAATTAAGTAAGGTTAGTTTAATTGTGTAAACGTTTAAAAGGAAAAAATAATGTTTCAAAAAATATCAAAGAATCCTTTCAAAATAATACTATTCTAAAATTCACAAGAAGGAACTTCCACAACAATCTATTTTTGTTAGGTAGTGGTCAGGCAATACCCATTTCCATACATCCATCACTACTGAGTCAACCATACGAGTATTATATGTCTGTCGTTGARTTGTGCTAAATTTATCTAGATAATTATTCAAATAAAAATGTATTTGATTAATTTGAAAACATAATTATTTAAAAAAAAAAAATTTAAATCATATTTTTTTCATAATTATTCGAATAAAATAATACTTCTACATAATGATTTTAATCCTTCTTGTAAGTGTACATGTATGTAAGTATGTACCTTTACCACAGTAGTAACTATATATAAATATAGAAGATGTTATTAATAATATTTTTGCACTTATTCCTAATAAAAAAAATATGATTTACAATCATGTAACTTAAAATAAAAAACCAGTTATTGGTTTTAATAGTAGTTTTTTTTTTTAAATTATTAACCATGTTTACTCAGATAATTGAGCGCCCTACATATATAAACATTGTAAACAATGTTAGAGAATTGCCATCATGTGCTTTCTCTGTCTTAAAAAATTAAAACAAAGGAAATTTAGATTGAACAGAACCAATTACATATTGTTAGCTTTAATATATGAACAAATTGACCAATGATGTAAGAATACCATCTAAAGCATTTTATAAACTCTAAATAATATTTCAAATTTAAGTAAATTTTAGCCAAGAAAATATTACTTTTACAACATGCATAATTACCTATAATATCAAATAATGAACAAAATCTTATGAGATAAAATCTAGAAAGTAAATCTTAAAATATTCTAAAATTTGATTCCTTCCAGTGTTAAAACTAACAACACAAAATTGGTTATGCTAATGCATATTAGATTGTATGTTTGTAATTTGGAGACCACACAAAATGTAGGTTAAGCATATATTTGAAACACAAACAATCTGAAAAATATAATTTAAAATAAATTTACTTACAGCACTTAGTATTTCTTTGACCATTTCTTTTTTTTGCAATGGACAATCAAAAATTTTTAATGACAATAATGAATTATTTAAAAAATGATAAAATGTTTTTTTATAATGATGGTGGATTAAAAATTTTTCTCCTTCAATTTTTACCTAAAATTATTGAGTTATWATTAGTTTTATGTTTAAACAATGTACCAAAATATAATTACAATAAATTGAAAAACTGTTCTAATTGCTGGAAAAATTATTTTTAGAAATCGTTTAGAATCTGCTAAAGAATAAGGAGCTATTTGTGATGGATGATAACCATACTTAAAATCCATTTTTTCATTTG